AATCTACAGTCTTTCTAAAGTGGTCAGGGAGGGAGTTCCAGTACTTAACAGATGAATAGCTAAAAGAATTTAGACCATATGTGGTTGTAAACAGCTTAGGAAGTGATAAAATATTGGTGCCCCTTAGGGAGTAAGCAGTAGATCTTAGCTTGATCAGTTGTTTCAAATAGCATGGATATTTATCAAGATGGAGACAGTTGAATATACAAATCATCATATTTTGTATCCTCCTGTTGGCTAAGCCACACACACCTGCCTTGTCTAAAAGATCATCATGTGCAAGTTTGACCCTTTGTTTCCTATCTTTTAAGAAAGGCTATTATCCAATTAATGATGTAAGGGTTGATGTTGCAGGTCGAGAGTTTCAATAGCAAGAGGCTGTGATCTATCAGATCTAAGGCTCTTCTACAGTCCAATGCAAAGATCCATACGGTGTTCCCCATTCCGTCTGTTACTTGCGCCTAATTGTGCATCAGATTTATCAATGCGTGCGCAGTGGATGATCCTGGAATACACCCAAATTGATCGGGTTCCAGGCATTTCAGAAGTGCTGGTTTCACATGTTCATGGACGACGTAGTGCTCAGCAATTTTGGACAACGTTGGTGTCAATGAAATAGGTCTCAAATCTTTCGCCGCATCCTCAACTACCTTTGTTTTGGGAAGAGGGGTGATGTTTGCACATTTCCAAATGTCCGGTAAAGTCCCTTGACTAATAGAGGAATTGATGATACAACAAAGGGGTTGAGCGAGCCCAGGAGCGAAGTCATACAAAACCCAGTTTGGGATATTATCTGGGCCCCCAGCTTTGGAGGAGATGACCGTACTAACTAAAGGCATTTGAAGGTAGCTTCCAGTGAAATAATGGGAGTTTTAAAACCTTCAGTGCTCACAGTTTCGTTATTATCTAAAAGTGGGTCAAACGAAGCTTGAGGTTCTAGCAGAGCTGTATTGATTTCATTAGCCAAGATCTTAAGGTTGATTGAGGTAGCTGGTTTACTTGCTCGGAGCTGATTTGCGACACTTGTAGATGTTTTGTTCATTCCACGTAACCACCTACATTCAGACCACCACATTTTAGGATTGTTTTCTGTCAAAACGCTGACTTTAGTGTTGTAATAAGAGCGTTTGCAGAGCTTCTGTTCCCTGTTTACTTTGTTCCGGTAGTAGTGGAACAATGGTTTGTCGTCTTAGTAATATGCTCTTCGACGGTGTGCTATAAGTGCCTTGAGTTTGGGTGAAATCCATGGTGCGTCGTTTTGGTGGAACTTGACTCGCTTTTTGGGAAGGATAGAATCTAACCCTATGTGAATTAGGTGACTGAAGTGAACATACTGTTCTTGGACGCTATCTATAGTGTCGATTAATGACCAGTCGAGCCCCGTCATATAACGACCAAAAGCCTGTTTGGACTCAGCATTCACAGCACATGTAGTAACCACTCTGTTTGCAGGAATATTGGCCTTCGATCTAATGTTTGGAAACAAACCAACAGTACAGTGATTGGATAGTCCGAAGGGCGGGAATGGAGAAGGTTTCTCGTAGTGTTCTGTAAGATTAGTTAACACTTTGTCGAGTGTACTATCCCCTCTCGTTGGAAAATGGACGACTTGCACGAGGCGGAACTCCTTAATAACTGGTGAAACATTTTTCCTGTTCCAGTCACCAGTGAGAATTACACCTGCACCAGGGATATCACTCTGTATCCTAGAGAGAGAATCCATCATGTAATCAAGGAGGGCTCATCTTTGGCAGGTGGTGGAGGATGGTATACTGTACCAATGATAAGGCAGCTATAGCCCCGGGGCAATTGGTTGGGCATGATCTTGGCCCATAAAATCTCAGGGCCCTCAGGGTCAGGGAACTCATAGTCCCGTAGAATTGAGAATTAATTTTGATGGAATCTTTTACATATAGAGCCACACCCCCATGTAGCCTGTGGGTCGTATCTTTGCATATGATGTTGTAGCCACTAATGTCAACTACGCTGTTATCAATAGAATCTTTCAGCCATGTCTCCGTTATACAACAACAATCAAACTTGTGGGTGTTCAAAAAAATATGAAGTTTGTCTATTTTTGGTGCCAAACTCATTACATTAGACACAGCTATTGACGGTACAAACTGCAAGGTGTTTTTGCTGGCGTCGATGCTTCTCTTAGGCTTGATAATAGCCTGATTATGGAAATTGACGGCTCTTTGTTCTGTGTAACGGCTGGAGGAGACACGTGTAGTTACTCTCACGGGAATTGTTGAAGGTCTCGGTAAAGAGTGATTATTGAACCGTAAAAATTCATTCAAGGTGGAAGAGTTATAGCAATTAACAGTTCTTCGTCTTGTGTAACTACTGGAGATGACGCGAGTAGTTGTTCTCATGGGAATTACTGAAAGCCCCAGTGAAGTGTGATTATTCGGCTGTGAATAATTATTCAAGGTGGAAAAATTGTTTGTTTCTGAAGAATATTTGCTTCAGCCTGTATTTACTTGTGTTTTAGTAAGTCTTCCAGACCGTTTCCCTCGGTACTTAAAAATTCCATCCGCTCAAATGTTCTTAAATAAAACTGAACGTCTCTCCTGAAGGCTGTAATTTTTCCAGAGTGACACCAGTTCATGCTGAGAGTACTGTAGGGTCATTGTTTGGCGAACTGGAGAACCAAGTTGCTGAATTAAACCTCGAGTGGCTCTCTACTGGCTACCAGTGGTGATAATAGATTGAGCAGGACTGGGATTGGTCGAAATATCAACGTATACCATGATGTCCAATGAAGGGTCGTGGCCAGGGATGACTAAAGAGACAAACCCGTGTTTAGTGTGCTTCTGCATTGGAACTCTTGATAGATGAAAACCATGTTTGACGATACAAGTGCATTTCTTCTTGAGTTGAACACCAGTGTGCAGGGGTTCCCACCTTGATTTAAAAGTAGCCTCGAAGGATAATAAATGGTTTAGAAATACAGTGCTTAAACAGGATAAAATAGTGATAGAAACTAGAGCTACTCTAAATGTGGCCGCCATGATTGGCGCTGAGAACTATATTATAAAATAACGACACCAGGAGCAAACAACACACGTATGGAAGAAAGAAGGTAAGCCATTTCTATTGAATAATTTCACTTTTAACTACCTCCATGGATATCTAGCAGAAAATCCCATACAAATCCTTTTAAATCAATATGCCATATTAGGTTCCTTGTGTGGTTCATGTAGAGAGCTTAGGCTACCTGTGGTTTGTATGTAATCACTACTCAGAGTACCTTTCTGGATCAAAGGTTTCTGGATCTGGCCAGTATTCTGGGTCACGGTGCAGATGATAAACAGGAAAGATCACCATCGATCCTTTTGCAAAATGCACATTATTTAGGGTGCAACTTTCTTTAACAGCACGGCCAAATCTGAATGGATAAAGGTTAAGTAAACATGAGGGAATTGGGTTTTAAAATTTCCCCTTAAGAGTTGTTTTAATTTCTTGCAAGGAGAGGCTCCAACAACAAAACTAAACCGAAACGGTTACTTACTCTTTTTCATCAAGAACTTTTGAATAATTCCCATCAGCACAGCATTCAAGTTATTCAAAGCAGAAAATATGCAACATAAACTGATTGTTTTCATAGTAACATAACATGATTAGGGGACAATTTATTTCTGCATGGTACATTTTAAAACAGCTGGATGGAAAATGTCTGTTGAAATCTGTTCTGATTACATGTAATTCAGGTTACAGTTACAACTGTCTGTAATAGTCATGACAACAAACTCAAGACTCAAAACTAGGAACCTGAAAACAGGAGGATAGAGACGCAACGCCTCGTTTAACACCATATCCAAGTACTCCAAGTTCTGGACTGTGTCATAAGCAGCATCCTTCTGTAAATAATGAGGTTCAAGCAGCTTGTTGGTGAGTCACTATTTTGATGCTTAACAAATAGATTCCATGTTGCCATTGATATTACTTTTTTGTTTAGTCATATATCACAAATGAAAAATGTGGTAAGAACAAAGAAGTGGAATTCAATGTGCAGCTGATTGCACATTTTCACATCTTCTGTGATCTACAAGTGAACAGACCCATGGTAATCTATTTATTTCATAAGCAAAATGTTGTTACCGTAATTTCTGGCCGTTTACCCACACAACCGATTACCCACACCAGCCAATTATTGCATAGGACGGAAAAAAAAGTCAACAGATTACCCAAACTGGTGGATAACCCGCACGTTAAAAGCAAAGAAAGTTTGTACAAAAAGGCTCTAGAATTCACAATGTTTCACACTCGACAGAATGCGACATTTGTGGCCACATTTTGTGCAAGCGATCATTTAATGCCATGTTGAACTGTTGATTTCTCAAAAAAATCGATATCTCTGGTTCTACTGGGCTTAACAAGTCCCTTAAAAGAGGAAAATTCTCTTCAGCTCAAGCTAATGTAAACTGGAGATTTGTTACTGATGCACCAGATACCCTTGGACTATTTTTGTCACCATCAAAGTTTTGTTTCTACGCGTGCCGATGAAAATTTGTTCGTCACGCAAATTGTGTGTGAAATAAACTCGAGTCAGCATCATGTTTTCATGCCGCTTTGTGGCATTCTTGTTACAATAAAATTCATTTGAGAGGTGGAAATGCAGGTAGGTGAGAATTTTTTTTCAATTTAAATACCAGTAGCTTTTAAAATTGTCATATAACCTGCACCTTCCTATTACCTGCAGTGGCACATGTTTGAGGCAAAATCAACAGATTACCCGCGGGTAAATGGCCGGAAATTACAGTAATAGTGACATCATCTCTGTGTCCACCTCTAATCCATCATTTGTAAGAACCATTAAAAACAAGCACAATTTAGCTTATTATGTAATTAACAATTATTCCATGAGCGCAAGTTGGATATGAGATGATAGATAGCCAATGAGGCGCTACGTGCCTCGTTGGCTATAATCATCTCATATCCAACAAGCGCGAGTGGAATAATTGTTTTACTAAAAACATTAAATTTAATATTAAATTGTACTAAATTTTTAGCTCCCTTTTAATTTTAAGCTGACGCGAACGCTTACCCTATTTGTAGATTATGGTGTATTGGCTCAAATACCATAATGGCTAAGCCAGTATTAAAAGTCTTGAATTGCATTGTCCAATGATCCAGTTTTTAATAATAAAGAATAGACCTTCTGAAAAACTTGTAGGCATGATTATATGTTTTTTTATAAGCTTACAAATCTGCTCAACCTTTCTTTTGAAAGAAACTTACTTTTTTACACATGCTGATGAGGCCAGGAAGGCCAATTTTAGTGCATCCAGAGGAACAAAATTAGGTAGCTAGTCCAAGATTTTGTACAAAAAGTCTCAGATTTGACAAGCTAAACCTGGTTAAGATATTATACTTGACAGGAATTGAAATTCAATGCTTAAATTCCATGAAAACTTCAGTGTCATAGGTTATTTAGTTTAACCTGGCTCATTTCCTTTAACCTCAAAATAACGTTTTTCACGCTAGCCTGATAAGTCATAAAATAAGGTTGATGTTAACTGTCCATCTGAAGCACTGCATCTGAGTTAAACCTTAACACAGTAATCATAAATAATAATCATGGAGACTTACCTCATCTCCAACAGCCCCATCAATTTCTTTAAACAGTTTCTCTTGCACTTCAGGGTTCAGAGCCAGACAATAGGTTGTGTAGGCTAAAGCATTGCTTGTAGTTTCATATCCAGCCAAGATGAAAGTGAAAGATTGTGAAATAACTTCACCATCCGTCAGTTTACTAACTTTTTTCCCTTCACTGTCTGTGACTTCTGCTTTCATCATCAACTCCAGCAAGTCTTTCCTCTACAACATTCAAAAGACCTCTTTAACTTGGTTTTTTTCTTCTCTTCATTTCATATGTGATGTTGAGGTTCAATTTCATATATATTGTAAGATTCAAATCTAATTTTTCTTCTCTTGAAACTCATTGTCTAGCACTATCACAACCCAAAAAGAAATGGAAAGTGTTACTATAACCAAAGATAAAATTGAAGCATCTCATAATTTTAAATCACTCTTTGCAACTCAGATACGATAGTAGTCTCATGGAACCCATCATTTTCAAGTCTACCTGTGCAGCTCCAGTTTCTCTCCTCTTTCTCATCACTTCTTGCGCAGTTTCAGCCAAAAACATTGCAGACTTTGCTCGTTCAGTACCTGTGGACTTCAGTATCAGCTTCATGACCAATTGAAACAAACCCCCAAGAAATGGAAACACCACTGCCAAAAAAGGTAAAAAATTTTTAAAAAATTGCACGAAAGAAAAGAAAAACATTGCCTCCAATACATATGCTCCCTTAGTAATTTAAAAAATCCAATTTTTTTCTTTTGTAACTGTTTAAATGAGATATGAGTGGAATGTTTAGTGTGTTATGGTCAATCAAATTGGAGATCAGGACATTTGGGTTCTCCTAAAAGCAATAGAATGGTTCTCTCCTGCCTGACTGCTTTGTTCTTCTTCATACAATAACATTCTAGTCTGAAATATTTCTTATGTCTGCAGTTTCCTGGGTTTCACAATACACACTTGCAATTGTTCATCAATTACTGCGAATCTAAATTCATTGATTTTTTACACATAGTTACTGAAGTGAACGGATCACACAGATGATTTACTTACTTAAAACAAATGAAAGAGGAGGCTGTTTAAAAAGAACCTCTGCATTTGAAGTGTACTGCTCATGAGGATCATTCTGTATGTCTGCCTGGACACCAAATGCTGTAGCCAAGATTACTTCCATGGTAAATTTTCCGTAAGTCCTTCAAGACATATTTATTTGATGCTTAGTAGCTAAGACTAAATGTCAGAAAGTAATTACTATTTTGGAAACTAACCCAATCTTTTTATAAACCCTCCTATACACTCTAAAGGACTCATTTTCTAACATATTTTTTTGTGGGGGCTAAGTTAGGACAGCAATATAACATCTTAATTAAAACTGGATCATGGACCAATACAAACTAACTTACAAACTGAATACAAAGTGAGATTTCCTACTCAGATTTCCAAGTCAATTCTCTGTTAGCAGTATTGCCAATACGACTTAGTGTGCCCTTTGTACAGTGGAGTGGACAACATTGGAGAAAATGGAGTTATTAAACTTTGACAAGTCAAAAGGAGGGTACAAGCTCCTAAGCAAGAGGAGGAATGCAGAATAATACATGTAGATAAACACATTCATGTCATTTACAACCCCCAGTCAGTCCCACCCAGAGAGGAGGACATACTGCTGCACAGCTTGATAGTGAGACAATTGCATTTGAGCTTGTCTAAGACAGAGTACTACATGTACCTCCACATGTCCACTATCTCTCCTGTCTTAGCAATTTGTTCAAGCTTTTTGCACAGTGTCTTAGCTGACTGCTGAACCAAAGGGGTAACCTATAAAGAAAAAAGAAGCAGTTCATGTCCAACTTCAGCACAAAATGCAAGATGGTGTTAGTGTCTAATGACAAAAATTCATAGATTCTGAAATGATCTTTACATTTATATTTTCAAGAGGATATCATCCTTTTTTGTTGGTGAACATAAAATGTAGATATTATTGAGGGAAACTGGATACCACTATATCCAATTTTGCCCTCCGACTAGAGATGGCACAAACCTGCTTTAGTTTCAGAGCACTGAATGTTGGAGTGATTGTAACACGGATTCTTCTCCATTCTTCATCTTCAAGTGCTATCAAGCTCTTGTTATCAAATACAGACTGACTTCCTATACTCTGCAAACACATTTCAACACAGAACATAGCATGAATCAGAACTGACAAAACCAGTATTGACTGTTGGAATTTTCAGTGAAATTAACCAACAGATCAAAATAAACACTCAATTTATTGTAATAATACTTAGTCCAGCTTCAATATGACAATAAATATGTTTATCATGTACTTACTGTGAGTGGTCGGTTAGGGAATTTACTGAATTCTTTCACAGTTATCTGTTTGATTAGATCAACATCTGTGATTAAATATGCTGGCATACGACCAAAATAACACCTGTAATTATAAATATATATATTTTAATCTTCATTGCATCCATTCTGAAATGGCTCTTGTAACTTAATGGTTGGCTGCTTTGCATTATATCTGGTTTTTCCTGTCAAAACTTCATCTGAATTCTAATGACAAAAGCAACCATATAATTTTGCCCCAGCCTTTGAGAAAATCTATTAATTTGAGAAATATCACATCTTTATCCAGGAACTCTATACCACACAGTATACTACATTTTCTCCAAATGAGTTTGATAATATTAACAATAACTAGAAGCCCAAATTACTTATTAAATGTATGATCACAAATGCTTATAACTTGGTCAAATATAATATATAATTTACAACAGATTAATAAGTTTAAAACAGGGACTATGTCAGCTACTTGCAATGTTTCAAAAAAAAAAACCTACTCATTCAACCTTTCCTAATAGAGGTCCTGGTATAGTGTTTGTCCAAGAAAATGTAGGATTTTGTCTGTATGTAGCACAGAAAAAGGATCTTCTATAATATCTGGGCCAGGCCCAGATCCATGGCATCATCCTCTCCAAATCCTGCTGTATTTGACTTACCCTGCGACTCTTCCATACTTTTCAGCAACTTCTTTTTCAAACAAAAATGGTTGAGAGCGCTGAAATCAAAGCACATAACAAATGACCGACTAATAATTACATCACATTTCATTTTTATATTTACACAGTGCAGACTTCTATGTAGATATATTCAATTGCACTAAACAGTATCGTAAGGTTGAGACTGGACGTCAGCATTTTTATCAGGTGCCTCTGGCAGCCACTTTAGTCCATATAGCGATCTCACCTTCCCACCCATCCCACCCTGGGGAGGACATCCACTACACAGTAATCTTGTGCATGGGAAATTTACGTCTCCTACCCCAAACTCTGCAGGAGATGGAACCTACGGCTTTACGTCTTATCCGAGAAGACGAAGCAATGTCAGTGAAGTGTCTTGCTTAAGGACACAACATCATGCCCCAGCCAGGACTTGAACCAGGGCCAACTGACCCAGAGTCCAGCGCACTGACCACTGGACTACTCACTTCTAAAACCTATCAGTACCACTCATCAAAAATATGCTTCAGGGATACTATCACGCTAACCTTACTTCACACAAACTCAAATAAAAGTCCAAAAACTCAAAACTGAAAAGACAAAATGAACTATCAAATGCTTGCTGTTTGGGAATTCATGATGTTTAGATATTTGATGAATCATTTTCTAAAGTTCTTAATACCTTGCTTCCTATCTGAGGCAGATTTCCCAAAAATGGCCATGGTGTAGGACCGGGTATGCCCAGGTTTTTAAAGAAGGAAAAAGGTGCCATACCATACCTAAAACAAATAATATTTTGATATTCTGCTTTAAAAATTGGAGAAAAACTTGCAATTTTGTTTGAAGCTACCACCTATCATTCTAACAGCAAAGAAAGAAAAGGTGAAGTCAAGCGCATGCATGTCATGCAATCAGTCCGAGTAGGAGGCTAATCCAGATCTTTGAATTTAGAAAATGCAGGTTTTTCAAAGTATGTAGGGGTCAGTGACATTTATAACCCTACCCTGAGCAAGTCAAGTTCAACGTTTTTAATAAACAGCACTGACACATTTATGAGATGACTAGCAATCTAGCTGAACACATGTTCAGAAGAGACACAAAACGATAGTCTTTGCTGACAAAATTCCTGGTCACTAAATCAGTTTTACCAGTACATTGGGGGGGGGACAATAAGGTCAAGAATTATGTGCACTTCAAGACATTAGACAAGATCTTGCACAAATATAAATTAACATGGCCTGATTCCCTGATGAAAACAGTCCATAAGCAAGTAAGACGCTTTGTTGGCATCCCACAGCTAGAGCTATTTTGTATTACTCCCAGCAACAAAGCTGAGAGGTCAAACCATTTGGTAATTTCGACTTTCGGATAAGCCACGATGCACACACCGTGCGCCCCTCTTAAAATTTTGCGCAAGCATTGTTTAACTTCTCTTGGGAAGATTTCAGGCACCGAGGGAGATTGTAAGAATTCGAGTGCCGAATTCTGGAGGGCAAACGAAGTTTACGAAATCACCGATCAATTACCAAGTCGTCGTAAGTTGACGAACAGGCCTTGGAGGTTCAATTTCCAAGTGGGGAGCAGGCAAATGATGCTTACCCTGTATAACTACTGATTCAATCGATTTAAGAACTTCAAGTTTGCTATCATAAGACACGTTATGAATTGCTTTTGCTTGTAGCTGGAAAGGTCAACAAAGCAAATTAGTAACATGCATAAAGATTAATGCACGACTTTCGACTTCGTCTATCAGATAAGCGAGTAACTTACCAAGCGAGCAGCAAAACGATTCCAAGGACTAATGCAATCCATAAATGTTCAAATTCTGCAACGTTTTGAATAAAATCCATCGTCACAACACGGTGACCTTGCCCTGACCTGGAATGACGACGCGTAGTTACAGTGCTATGCTAACTCTGTAATGCGTCAATCAATTCAAATTTCAGAGACACGGGCTGAGTCAATCCGTTGTGTTTTTGGGCAAGACGCGCTCACAGTGCCTCTCTCCACTCGGGTGTATAAATAGTTGTCAAGGAAGCCCGGGGGAGGGGGGGGGGACTTGAACCTTGCCTGGCTGAGGTAAGAAATTTGAACAGGAAATGTAAAGTCTTTCCACCAGAGGGCAGGTACCTGAGCAGAGCACTAGTGTTTCATCCTTAACTATAGACTGAGGTGTCTACACATAAGGTAAATAGTTCACTTGCGCGCGCGAATGGCGCAGAAGAAGAGGTCTACAAGGTCTAGGATTTAAAGTTTGGTCAATGTGTAGAAGTCACGGTCCCTGATTTCGCATTTCACAAAAAAATTGGGTTTGCATTTGAACACAATTTTTACCCTGAGGGAGGGAAACTGAACAAACCAATCTTCAAAAGTTCAAATGCCAAGGGGGTTGTTAAAGCTTCGAACCAATCGACGCCAAGAGAATATAAACTATCATTTCAGAAACCATGAATTTTTTCATGAGACACTTGCACCATCCTGTATTTTGTGCTGAACTTGGACATAAACTGTTTATATTTTCTTGTCGACTCATAATTCTTAGGCAAGAAGGTGCGTGACGTTTTTACAACTGTGTATATGTCACGCGTGCGCTAACACGCGGAGCCAGCTTTGCGAAACCACAGGTAACTCGCGCGAGGTATCTTGAAAAAGCTGCAAACATAATTTAATTAGAAAATTGATGATCCATCGCAGTCCTCAAAGTAAAGGTATCATAAATTTTCTTTTTCTGACTCCATGCCAGGGGATGTGGAAGCAAAGAAAGCTCGAGAAACGGATCTACCCCTTCTAGGTATCTAAATGAATTAACCAGACTGTAATACGCTGTCCAATTCATTTCTTCGCAAAACTAGAGATTCTGGCAAAGTTTCATTCTGATTCTTTCTCAGCCACCTGTAAGGCTGCTACAAAAACACCTGTTGGATTGTCACGCAGTATTCGTAAGGAAGAATGGCAAGGTGAGTGTTAAAGGTCTGCAATCTGGCCGTCAATATAAAGAATCTTTTAGATTAATTGATTATCTCTGCAAGGCAAATCACTCTTAGCTACTGAAACTGATCTACGGTCGATGGCGTTGTTAGGTATGAAATAGCAAAGCCTTGTTTACCATTTTTTTGGAAGTGATTCAAACAGTTTATGTTTGTTTCAGCAGCAGGTACTTTGGACCAATTCCAGAGAATATTATTTGCAAAGCCAAGCGTTCTCTTAAGACTTAACAATGGCACAGAAAAATATCAAACCTTGTAAATAAGCGGGAAAAAAAATAAGCTCGATAACTTTTGGCGAACTTAAAAACAAGGACAACTCAGGTATCTTTTCCGCGGAAATTGGTCTCCTGAACACAATTGGGAGCTACCACACTCACTGACAGTACACTTAAAACGTTTTCCATAAAAGAACCCCAAAATTACTTATTCCGAAGGATAAATAGGATAGCATTAATTTTTAAAAAGCCTCAAAGTTGTAGCGTCTTACACGTACTCCGAGAAGATCTACGGCAATGGACACACAACTTGAAGACGAAACGCCCTCAAAGGGTTGTATCACCCTGTGCTTTGAACGTATATTTCAAAAGTTGATCGAGTGCACGCCGAAATACATGTACTTCATCTTGGCCGCTGATGGTTGAACTGTAGCAAAATCGCCTTTGTTAAACAGCTAGTTTACTTTGAGCTTTGAGTTAAAAGGAACCTTTGGAAGTGAATGCAGCTGTCGCGGCTAAACCGTGTAGAGAAAATCGTTATCAACAATGGCCTTACGACTTCACAACACGAGACTACTTGATGGCGGAATCTGTTGTTTTAATTTCATCTTTGAGGAGTTTTCCAACATTGGAGCGAATGTGTATTCGAGGCCCTTCTTTTTTGCCGGATCTCGGTGGCGTTTACAAGGTGGAGTAAAGGGAGGACAGTTTGGCGTATTTCTCCGCTGGCATGGAGGTGGTCAGCACACGGATAAAGTTAAATGCAAAATCCGTTTCTCTGTGGAAGTTATCAACAACAGAGACCCTTCAAGCTCTGTGCGAGCTGGAAATATGACCGAGTCAGATGAGTTCCCAAAAGTAGCCTTCGGCATCGGCTGGAGCAAGTTGCTTCCAGTGGAAGAAATCGAGAGGCCAAATTCGGGCTTTTTGGACGATAACTCTTTGTTCCTGGAAGTCAGATGTTGTATGGTGCACTTTTTATTTGAGGATAAATTGGTGATCAATTTGTCATCTCGTACTAGTTATGTGTCCAGTTCAAAGTTTTCTCTGTATGACGAAGAGTGGTACCTGGTATTGTATCCTAAAGGAGAACCCAAGAATGACAATTCTGTGAGCCAAAAACAAGAGCATGCTTCCGTGTATCTTCACAGAGAAGAACCAGGCGTGTTAAGATTCAAAGCTACTTATTCCATATTTGTGCGAGGAAGCCGCGAAGTTCAAGTGAGCCATCATTTTTGCAACAACAACGCCAGCATAGCATTTGGCATTGAGAAATTTGCTCGCACTAAAGATCTTAAGGCTGTCTCTAATGGAGGCTTGGTTTCCATCGGGGTCAAAATCACCTCCATTGAACCTTATTATTACTTTGGGTTTGAGACACAAGGTTGGTCGCCTCCTAACAATCTTGGAGAAGGATGTTCTATAAACGACGTGTTCCCTTTGTTTCTAAAGCCGTGCTCGGATGACAAGAAAATGTTGGATTTTAGCCTGATGTTCGACCCCGGGCCAAAATTTGAACATGCTGAACTGGAGGACAGTGCTTACTACATGAAGATCCTTTGGAGCGTCAATGTGGTGTGCATTAAAGATTTCAACAGAAGTGTAACCGTCAACTCTTGGGATATTGCTGGTCAGAGCGCTTTCTGTTACAGCCAGGATGAAATGACGATGAATACAACTCTGAAGCTAAACGAGGTATCCTTCTGTTCATTTACTAATCATAAATGTTAAAGCCACTCTTGTACCCCTCCTGCGGTTTTTTTTTTTAAACCATAGGACTGGACGTCAATGCATTTCGATTCCGATAATTGTATTCCTGCCACTTGATCTTGTGCGTATCGAAAACCGTTTAACTTTTATTATCCCTTACTTGATTTTGCTTCATTATAGAGTAGACTTTTCGTAACACTCTACTTCACAATCACTGCATTTTTCTTAATCTTATAAGCGTTCTTTTAAACTTCATAAAAGCATGGGAGGAGGGGGGGGGGGGGGGGAGAGAAATCAGTCCAATATGAGCGGAGAAAACGATCTCAAAAACCAAACAATATTTGCTTACTTCTCTTTCACCTAGGTGTTAAACCCATATAGTCCGTACTTGGATGACGAAAAGAATTTGGGTGTTCGCTTAGTCATCGTAAATGCCAATGAAGTTTACGATCCACTTCTGATCAACTCTGACAAACACAGTGTGGCAAAGTTGAGAGAAATGAAGGCGCAAACAAAAGCTGCCGTGGAAAATTTCTGGTAAGATAAATGTGGGAGGAAAATCTTTAAATAGAAGAAATCGACTGTTTTTATTCATCACAACATAAGAAAAAAATTGAGAATGACCTGTTGTGAAGTTTATTTATTCATAAAATGAAACAACTGTGGTGGAAGCAGATAATTAAATGCATATTCAATCAACTGTTAGTTATAGTATCAGGTGGATTAGATAACAATTATTGCCATCTACCTGCTTCCTAGGAAGGTTCAATTAGACGAAGTGTATTCTGAGAAAGATAGAGTGATAGCTGACAAAGAAGAAGAGATCGCAACCAAAGAAGTGGAACTTAACCAGAAGGAGGCAGCTATCCAGGCACTAGAGAACGAGATTACTGAGAGTAATGAGTACCTGGCAGAAATTGAGAGCACTGTTGATGAGGTACGGCAAACATCTCTGTGCTGTGAGCTAAGAGCATCGACGAAAAAGAACAACAATTACCACTCTGTTTTTCTACAAATTATTTAAGGGAAATAATGCTGGTCTATACTCAAACGAAAAACACACGCGCTCCCACACTAGAGGCGTGTAAATACCATGATCATACCGCAACTGAACAACTTGAAGGATCGATCGGTTTAAGTACTTTCCTCTAATGAAAATGTTTCCATCTTATGATCTTTTGGCTTTTTCTCTAAACAGATTGACGGAAAGAAAGTGAGCAGTATAAAGGATCTCGTACAGGAGGCTCAACCACATGAAGAAGAAATTTCTAAACAAGAAGAAGTTGCAGAAAAATTGAAAGCATTTTTAATGGTAAGTCAGTGCTCATGAATAAAGACTTTCTTTGAGAATCAGAACACTTGACAAATGAAATACTCAATTTATCTTGATTCCAGTCGTTTTCTTAAGCACAAGTGAAACATTCTTAGTAAAAGGGCTACAGAATTAATTTCTGATTTTATTAACAAACAGGATAGCCTCCCATTCAGTGTCAGCCGAATTTTAGTTGTTGGAGCAGCAGGACAAGGAACAACTATCAAAGGATACAAGGAAGTAGAACTGGCCGTGTTTGTCAAAGGTTTAGTACATGTTTGAATTCTCCTTATAATGGTCACAAGGAGTCTGTCCTTTGAGAATTTCACAATTTTACCACCAATCCCCTTTCAGTGTTGAAAACTGAGCTATTTACAAATCTCTGACCTCAACCCCATGCAAAGGACAAGAGGGTTTTCGTTTCATAACTGTAACAGAGCAGAGGCTATGCAAAATGAACTGATGAAGTCCAATTCACTCACTAGATCTCCCCAGAACAGAGCATAAGAGTTGGTTGCCAGCCATAGTTTTCACTATTAAGACCCTGCTGAAACAAGAAGGATCTAAACCAACTGAGAGCACAGATGAAAACCAGAAGAGTTCATCACTGCCTCCATGTTCAGACTTTGTGACAACTTCGGCCTCTGTCAAGTTCAAATGTGACAGTGTGGATGTAACACTGGACCCAATCAATGATTGGGAGCAAATGGGGGGATACATTGGGTTATATAAACAGTGCTTTTCCCAACCAGCAGATGCTCAGCCATTGTAAGTACTGGTACACCCACAGGAGGGGAAAAAGTGGCCCCTCCATTTGGGTGTCACTATTGCAACTATAAAAACAGCCCCTGAATTTAGATGTCCTTAGAATTATGGTAACTGGTTCAAAGGTTATACAGTGCAAACATCATTTAGGAAAATCACTTGAGACTAGAAAAATTGGCCCTCTCATGTTGCATAATCAGCAATTCACTCTGCCATTTAGATTTATCACAACAGAATCGTTGCTAATTAGTGTATATTGTAGTGTGACCGTAATTATATACAAAATGCCCGTAATTATATACAAAATGCCCGCAGGTATAAAACACGTGAATTTTGACTCCACATTTTTATTACTTGGATTAGTGTGTGCGCGAATAAAGAATCTTGTGTTTTACAGAACCGAGTAGTTAACATCTCATTCAATGGACACACTCAGAACTAGAATAATGGAGCACTTTCATCTATTTTTATATTTATCTAGCTTATTTATGAGAGGATCAAGGATGCAAAATGTTTGCACATTTAATCATGATAAAAGACATTCCAGAAAAATTTAGGTGATCAAACCTTTGTCTTTGTATGAAAACTTATGTAAAGATTAGCATACTTGAAAGCCAATATGTGACAACTCTGTGGATTTTTTTATCCCTGCTTTTTGGCATCACTGAAACCTGAAAATAAATTGTATTTAGATAATGGAATCCCCACTCTGATAAAAGATTTCGCTTGGAAAAAAAAAAACAACAACAACAAAAAAAACAATTACACCAATGTTTCCATCTCTACATTTAGTGCAAGGACTTGATCCGTATTGTCAAGGTGTGGAGTAATAGTGTAGCCTGGCGGAATACCTCATCCACACCCAGTCAGTACTTATTGTGTCTGCTAGTCACAGCAGCTTATCAAGTGGTTCATGAGTAAGTATTTTATAATTTCAAGTTCAAAGTTCAAGATGTTTCAGGATCAAAAGATCAATCAATATAGAATGACACAAACATACAAACTCTTGAGTGAGAAATTGAGCAAGTTACTGATAAGAGTTCCAATAAAAGAAAATTGCTAATTCTATACCTGCAGTGCTTAGTATACCAAACAAAAGTTATTGAAAAGTGATTATACAATGGGTCCTTGAACATCCTAGTGAACACAAGTTAAAAGTTTGTCCCTCTTCAATCTGATAAATATCAAAATGCAAAGTGGTAGTGAAAACATTCATATATTAATATGTTATGTGCTCCTATGTTGTTATAATGCGATGATTGGATTCTGAAGGGGAGGTGAACAGTCCCAAGCAGTAAGAGCAGACAAGGATGTTTTCTTGGAACTTGCTGACATGGTTGGAGATGAATCTTTGGAGTAAGTTTCTGTTTCCTCCAATGAGCGCATGGGCTCTTAATTAAAATTTTTGCTGAAGGGGGATACTTATTAGAGGGGGTGCTTAATCAAGGGGAATGCTCCTGTACTGATTCTGCTGTAGCTGAAGCTTAAAAAATTAGAAAGAAAGTGGCAATATAAAACAGGTTTTTGTTATATCCCTACTATTTAAGACAGTGAGAGAGAAGGGAGTGCCTACTTGATGGGGATGCTTGTTTGACATTATAGCCTCTGGGTGGGCACCTATTTGGAGAAGGGTGTCTATTAGAGCATGGTCACTTAAGCAAGGAAATACCATAAGTCCATAATTTTTAAAAAGAACATTATACATTGCATAATGTTGAGAGAGCCAAACAACAGTGTTTTTCAAAATTTATATTCTCTTTCTTCAAATTAATATTTCAAATTATATAATAAAAATGATACACATTCTTTGGAAATGTGGCCTTCCTTCAAATAACTATGAAAATGGTAGAAGGTTCATGCAGAGGTCACTTACAAGGATGCCACTATACTTCAGTGCTTAGAGCCTTAAGCCAGGGGTACTTTAGAGGAAAGCAGTCCATCATGGCTTAACAGTGCATATGATTTTTGTCACCTTGCTTGGACTTTATTTTTTCATACAAATTTCTTCTACTAGATTCAGAGAGACACCTAGACTCTAGGGTGTTTTTCTTAAACACCTTAGCCTTAAAGAATTTACACTTGAGTCATCAAATAACTTAACATTTCATCCCTCCATTAGTTAAGTCAGTCAGTCCGTCAGTAGATTCTCAGTTAGCAGACAGTGAGTTCTGTAGTCACTCAGGCGCTCATGGACATTTATTAGGTAGTCTGTCATCCACCTACCTATCCCGCCATTCATTCCATAATTCACTCTTTCAGGGATAGTTCTGACTTAATAGTTTTCATCTGATTTTATGCAGAGTCTACTGGAATGAATATTACCTGGCAGAAGAATATCCCAGGGAAAATTATCCAGTTCCATTTCAGTTCCCCATTGTTCAAGACCCTGCCATTCCAACACATAATGTGGCATCTGATGGACTGGAAGACTGGGCACAATTCAGGAGAGAACTGTCAAAATGGGTTGCAAAATTAACTCTTTAGTACTCTACAATGATATGTTGTAACATTATTTAATGAATAAGCACTGTAAATGTTTTTGTTATCTTCAGAAATATAAAGTTGGAGGACTGCATGTGGTAATTAATGCTGACCATGAGTTGACATGAAAAAAAAAATCTGTATCCTTAAGAAATAAGAGAAAAGCACCTATAATAAGGAAATACTTTGCTTCAAAAAGCTTTGCCATAGTACTTTGTGGTTAAACCCTCAAGGAAAGAATTCTTTTATAGTTTCTAGTGATAAGAAAATAAATACTGAAAAGACAGTAATAAAGATGACTAGGGCTAAAAAACGTCTTAAATTATTTTACCTATGGATTTCATTCAAAGATTGTTCACTATTAATAACACCACTTATACAGTGAACACAAGGGTAAAAAATTAAATAAAGCAGCACAGTAACTCTACATTTAGTACAACAGATTACTTTTACCATTGTAATTCAGGGCCTTCTTCTAGTAAAAAAATTTCGTTTTTACAAAGACGTGTGTCTACTTGATAAAATTGTGATTCCTTTATAGATAAAGTATTGAAATAATTATGAATTTATACTGCCTTGCAATCTTTCTCATTATTTCGGTTTAAGAATTTTGATGGCTGATTTATTTAATAAAAGGCTTTTCTTTTGCTGGTTAACAGATCTTATACTTGTGAACTGACATAAAACTTCCCGATTCGTGTAATTATTGAGTGGCAAAACAGCATCCAAATTCATTTCTCTTCTACATCACTTCTCATAACTGTTATATGACGTAGTCTTTGGGGCTTCCCCCAGAAGGCCTGGGGAGTTATTACATGCATGGCTGCGTTTACTGTCGTTCGTCTCCTTGAGTATTGCCATCTTCTATAGTGATAAACAATAACGACCACATTTTGATAAAATATTTCTTCTCCAAATGGATTGAACCCAAAAATTTCTTCCCCCCAAAAAAACAAAGGATTTAAATCAAACGACGTTCGTCCAGACCAAAGTATATGGTATATACTTCAAGGTGGAACAGCATAAAGTCGCAATGTCTGATACTCCATTGACACCATAATTAAACATAACCACCTTTAAATAACCCTGTACTTCTTATTGCAGACTGCAGATAAAGCCACAGAGAACTTTACCTACGAGTAGATAGTAAAGACGGCTTTGTCCACTTTGGACGGCATAGGTTAGCTTTATCTTTTACGTACATGCGGCAACCAGCCTTGCCTCGCGGTTGAATGGATGAAAAGATCTTCATGGCATGTCCCGAGATTTCTTCGTTCCTGTCCTATAATTTATACTTTGAATATATCAAAAAAGTTGAAATGGTAAATTGGCCACCGTTACGATTATAAAAGCTCACGTTTCCAGCGTTAGCCCTTCGTCGGAGCGAGTTCCCCATGGTCTAGTGCACCAGGGAATAAAATTTCAGCTCGCTGGCATGCGTAACAGAGATGTGGCATGCGTGAGGAGACGGCTCACCGACGCGTTTGCAGAGGTGCCTCACAAGTAGTGGCCAACTTTCGTAAGCATTCCAATCCGGCGTCAGACAGTTCCCAGAATCGTCCGTTGGCATGCGTTTCGTAAAAGTGGCCTGCGTGAGTACAACCCTCACCCCTTCGTTTCCACCGGTACCTCAGAGTGCATGGGGGCTCATTCTCAAGCATGCCACTCCGGCGCCCGTGACTTCCCAGAGTTGCACGTCTATTCCCGAAATCCCTTGGGCCTAGTGAACGTGGGATTCCATTTTGGGCACGTTGGCATGCGTTGCGTAGAAGTGGCATGCGTGAGTAACACCCTCACCCCTTCGTTTCCACAGGTGCCTCAGAGTGCATGGGGGCTCATTCTCAAGCATGCCACTCCGGCGCCCGTGATTTCCCAGAGTTGCACGTCTATTCCCGAGGTCCTTGGGCCTAGTGAACGTGGGATTCCATTTTGGGCGCGTTGGCATGCGTTGCGTAGAAGTGGCATGCGTGAGTAACACCCTCACCCCTTCGTTTCCACAGGTGCCTCAGAGTGCATGGGGGCTCATTCTCAAGCATGCCACTCCGGCGCCCGTGATTTCCCAGAGTTGCACGTCTATTCCCGAGGTCCTTGGGCCTAGTGAACGTGGGATTCCATTNCCTGGGATTCCCTTTTGGCCGCGTTGTAATGAGTTTCGTGGAAGTGGTATGCGTGAGTTCAAGCCTCATCCCTTGCTTTTCACTTGTGACTCAGAGTGCGGTGGCCCTCACTCTCACGCATGCCACTCCAGCGCCCCCTATTTCCCGGAGTTGCGCGTCTATTCCCGACGTCCCTTTGGTCTAGTGAGGCTAGGATTCCATTTTGGCGGCGTTGTCATGCGTTTCGTGGAAGTGGCATGCGTGAGTTCAAGCCTCACCCCTTTCTTTTCACTTGTGCCTCAGAGTGCGGTGGCCCTCACTCTCACGCCTGCAACTCCGGCGCCCCCGATTTCCCGGAGTTGTGCGTCTATTCCCGAGTTACCTTGGGTCTAGTTAACCTGGGACTCCATTTTTGCCGCGTTGTCATGCGTTTCGTAGAGGTGGCATGCGTGAGTTCAAGCCTCACCCCTTGCTTTTCACTTGTGCCTCAGAGTGGGGTGGCCCTCATTCTCATGCATGCCAGTCCAGCGCCCCGGATTTCCCGGACTTGCGCGTCTATTCCTGAGGTTCGTTGGGTGTGGTGAACCTGGGATTCCATGTTGGCCAAGTTATAATGCATTTCGTAGAAGTGGCATGCGTGAGTTGAAGCCTCACCCCTGGCTTTTCAGTTGTGCCTCAGAGTGCGGTTGCCCTCACTCTCACGCATGCCACTCCGGCGCGCCCGATATCCCGGAGTTCCGCGTCTATTCCCGAGGTCCCGTTGGTCTAGTTAACCTGGGATTCCCTTTTGGCCGCGTTGTAATGAGTTTCGTGGAAGTGGTATGCGTGGACGTCTCTTTGGTCTAGTGAGGCTAGGATTCCATTTTGGCCGCATTGTCATGCGTTTCGTGGAAGTGGCATGCGTGAGTTCAAGCCTCACCCCTTGCTTTTCACTTGTGCCTCAGAGTGCGGTGGCCCTCACTCTCACGCATGCCACTCCAGCGCCCCAATTTCCCGGAGTTGCGCGTCAATTCCCGAAATCCCTTGGGTCTAGTAAATCTGGGATTCCATTTTGGCCGCGTTGTCATGCGTTTCGTAGAAGTGGGTTGCATGAGTTCAAGCCGCAACGCTTGCTTTTCGCCTTTGCCTTAGAGTGCGGTGGCCCTCACTCTCACGCATGCCACTCCGGCGCCCTCAATTTCCCGGAGTTGCACGTCTATTCCCGAGGTCCCTTGGGTCTAGTAAATCTGGGATTCCATTTTGGCTGCATTGTCATGCATTTCGTGGAAGTGGCATGCGTGAGTTCAAACGTCACCCCTTGCTTTTCACTTGTGCCTCAGGATGCAGAGGGAGGCACTCTCACGCATGCCACTCCGGTGCCCCCCGATTTCCCGGAGTTTGGCGTCTATTCTCGAGGTCCCTTGCGTCTATTGAACCTGGGATTCCATTTTGGCTGCGTTGTTATGCGTTTCGTAGAAGTGACATGCGTGAGTTGAAGCCTCACCCCTTCCTTTTCACTAGTGCCTCAGAGTGCGTTGGTAGGCACTCTCACGCATGCCACTCCAGCGCCCCCGATATCCCGGAGTTGCGCGTCCATTCCCGAAATTCGTTGGGTTTGGTGAACCTGGAATTCGATTTTGGCCGCGTTTTCATGCGTTTCCTAGAGGTGGCATGCGTGCGTGCAAGGCTAATCCCTTGCTCTGCACATGTGGCTTTGACGCAAGTGTGACTGATTCTCACGCACACCACTCCGGCGTCCATGACTCCCCGGAGTTGCGCGTCTATTCCCGA